AATGGGAAATGGGAAACTCTTTTTTGAGAAACGCCCTGGGATTTTAAATGACCACAGAGAGTCAGGACCTCGGTTTTACATCTCATCCGAAGGACGGCGCCTGTTTACAGTACAGTGTCCCCTTCACTATAATGGGGCATTAGGACCCACATGGACCGCAGGGTGAGCGCCCCCTGCTGGCCCCACTAACACCTCTATCAGCAGCAACGTAAGCTTTTCCCAGGAGGTCTCTCATCCAGGTACTGACCAGGCTCACACCTACTGAGCTTCAGTGGGTTGCCAATTGTGAGTTGCAGGGTGATATGGCTGCTGGCTGTTTCATCCCTTAACCCAGTACTTCTTCAGGATAGCGGGACAGCAGTGATGATCAGCCACTGCTTGCCTGTGGTGACCATAATGGTTCATCCCGTCTGTACCAGAGCCAGCATGAGTCTTTTTCTGCTGCCTCTATCATCTGTTGCACTGCTGAATTTCTATCTTTGCCGCTGATCCCCAGCTCTCCGAACATCCTCCAAAGTGACGGGGCTGGAAAATCACGGCATCCTACCTCAACTGGAAATGACCAGACTTTCCACCCTTTGCTTCTGATGTTATCCACAAGCTCAGCGTACCTTGCTTTTTTCCTCTCAAAAGCTTCTTGGCACCTCTCTTCCCAAGGAACTGTCAGTTCAATGAGGATAATAACCTTTCTCTGGGAGGGCGACATGACTACATCTGGTCGCAAGTTTGTCTGGACTATGTCTGGAAATAAATGTCGCTTGTCTAAGTCGACCTCCATTGACCAATTTCTGCTAAAGTGTCTTTGAAGAATGCCGGCAGGTCTAACTCCAGCAACTGCTGTGCTCTTTTCTCCAGCCTTGATGAAGCTAATGTTGGATCGTGCTGATTGAGGTTTCATGCCTTTTCTAAATGTATCCAAATTCAAGGCTAGTGACCTGAGTAACTTATCGTGGCGCCACCGATACCTGCCTTGCCTATTCTTCCACACAGTGTTCAGCAGGGGCTTTCAGTTGGCCCCCATCTATGGAGATTACTTGGAGTGGGTAAGACATCGTAGACTGAGCGCAATAGAAATTGAATCTGCAAAGGCTCAAGTTTCCACTGTCCTTCCATGCCAGCTTTCTATCTGTTGTTTCCCATCTTGCCCACGTTTCCTGTTTTCCCAACTGTATCGGTTTCGAACCTCTTCTTCCTTCTTTCTTATCTCTTCTTGAATTAAAGCTGCTCTCCTTGATTTTCTTTTTGTACTTACCTGAAAAGACCAGACCTTGACGGCCGACAGTTGGCTGTCCAATAATTTTTTGATATTTCAGTTGGCTTTCTGCAGATTCCACTGCACTGGCTACATTCCATTTACTGCCTGACCTAGTCTGTATTTTTGCTTTCCTAATACTGTCATCTTTCGAAACACGTAAACCTACTGCAAGTCTGACGTTTGCAACCTTGAACTCCTCAACTAACGATAAAATAGGCAGCTGTAACTTTGAGGATCTACTAGAAACCGAGGCTAGTAAAGCTAGGGGGAACTCCTAGACAACGCAGAGAAAGCTGTTTATTTTCCTCTCCATAAATTCAACTGTGGTGGTTGCAATTTCATAAAGCATCAATGGCCACAGAAGCCTTGGCAATAATCCATATTGATAAAGCCACACCTTCTAGAGTTTGTTTTTCCACTTCTCTTGTATTATTTGTATCCTTTAAGGTTGCATCAAACCATTTCCCTAGGCACTTAATTCTTTCTGCTGTTATGGAGAGGATTTGTTCTCCTTGCACACTGAGTCCAAACCTGTCAGTGATCTCTCCTCTCCTGATTACTAGTGATCCCCATTTCTGGGGCTTGAACTTCATTCTTGCCCACTTCACGGCTGTATCCAGGGCTCTTAAAACCCATCTAGCTTGTACTTGTGTAGTAGTTGTTACTGTTAGGTCATCGATGAATGATCTGATTGGTAGTACTGTAATGCCTGAGTTCATGTTGGGCCCTCTGGACTCTTGTTGTGCACTTTCGATGATCAGGTTCATGGCCATTAAAAATAAAGTAACTGAAATTGTACAGCTAGTCCTTGCCAGGAAGTTATGGAATTTCCTACAGAGAATCTCATCTTTATATTGCTCAGGTACCCTTTAATTATATCCTGTATCGTTCTTGGAATGAAATAATGACACATAGCTTCTTCAATCAGTTTATGAGGCAATGAGCCATAAGCATTGGCAAAATCGAGCCAATTTTATAGTTTAAAATCCATATTTCAAATGGAAAACAGATATTTAAAGAACTCAACGGGATGTGTATGTTACAGACCAAGTTTTACTGAACCTTCTGTAATTGATGCTGAGCACCAGCTGGCCACCTTTCTAAACTGCCACAGACTGCATGGTCCTTTCAAAACCCAGGCCTGTATATTGCAATATACCACAACACATATTCTGTGTGTGTTCATTACTGTTGTTGATTGTTCAAAGAAGTAGGTGATCTTCTAGTTTAGTTCTTATTGTTTCCATAACCTTGAATGTAATATGTTAGATGAATAAATTGCTATGTTCAGTTTTTTTCACCTTTTTATGGAAGATAACTTGTCTTCTAGTCCATGGGTACTACACCTGTCTTAAGCAACTTTCGGAAAACCTCTTTAACTAGTGTTTTAACCAATACCCAAAACACTTCTGCCTCTTTTGTGTTAATAATATTTTCTAAAGAACATTGTATTTTCACTGCCTGAGGGGTGCTGCTGACTTCTTCCTTAGTGGACCCCTGAGTGAAATACTCATTTTGAACATCAGCCCTTTCTCTTTCATAGCCTTGAAGTGCTGTATACAGTAGTCTGTAGTCTGGGGAAAGCTCTTAGAAATACACAACACAAACACTGCTTTATAATCTGGCAAAAGTTTTATTTTTTCCGGAAAAAAGCTGTCTGAAGCTTTGCAGACCGGAATGGTTCTGACATAAACATGAAAAGGAATGATTGATTACTGTAGATATACCTGAATGAAAAACAGTCTGACAGATGTAAAGTGTGATTCTGTTGACTCATGAAGCACTATTTGCACTGCATATTGCATACAGTATAAGCCAAGATAATTACTGACGTACAGCTGAATGAAAAAACAGACTGGCAGGTGTAAATCACTATGTTATATAATCTGGTGTGCGGTGCGTTACAAGCATGAAACAAAACATGTACTGTACATGCTTTAATGTGCTTTAATGTGTGGGTGGTGTTCTATTGTATATTCATATTTAAATATTAATATCCACACCCGAAGATGGCTCCACAGCTGAAACTTAGTGTTTCCTTTCTTCTCTTTTCAGTATGGAATAACCCTATTACTTGTTCCTTTGTAGCCTATGCATGTGGACGCAGATACCCACCTGAACTACTTAATATTTAAATGTCAACTTTTAAGAAAAAGCCAACAGTGAAAAAAAGTGTGCTTCTATATCATTATCTAGACATTAACCCGACTTTAACTGGTCAGACAGGAAGAAAGCCTTCCCATTCACTTACTTTAGCAGCCAATATATATTAGCAATACCTGTGCACATTTGATAATTTACAATGAAAAGGCCATTTTTATAACAAATTGGATGCAACATCAGATGTTTTGATAAATACAAAATGTGTCTTTCTGATAGAGGTGAGGTTAGACTCTTGATTTTTTTGTCCACACATTCCTGTGTGGACTTAATGAAGCAGAATGTAAACTTACTATGAGCACTGAGTGACCCTACTCACACTCATATTTTCCTCCATCACTTTCCTCCATATTTGTCTTTGCTGAAATCTCACACAGAGTGGCAAGCAGACTGTCCTTGTCATGTGCTGAGAAACACAGTTAATGCAAACATGGGTGTGAGCTGTTTACTGTACAGAGAAATATGAAAGATATACTGTAAGAACAGATTGTATGAGAAGTCTTATTAGCCCACTGTACATTTTAATATAGGATCCTATGACATAAGTTGTGAGATTCAAAGTACATATTCTTTGCCGTTTTTATTCCAGAATCTAGATTATTATGTATCAGAAAGAGAAATGGTTTGTATACAGATGTCTATGGAATTTGACTGAATACATCACCTTTTCAAAAGCCTTCTGAAAACCTAACTATACTATATCACAGCCTCTGTGTCTGTTTTACTGTTGTTGCTTCTTCAAATAACACTATCACATAACTTAAGCAAGGCTTACACAAACTTTCTAGATTGGTAACATCAGTACCACTGATTGTAATAGGCTGGAAAAACTAGTCAAACTAAGGAGCAAACTAATTGGAGAAAATCAAAATGCCTCAGATATCCTGTATAAACAGAAGGTGGCAAAGAAAGCAAACTGTATACCCCCTTCATTGCAAGTTCACACTTTTCCTGTCTTGGAGACGGCTTTGTTCCCCCAGGTGTAATACTGACACAGGAAATATTTCATCCCCACTGCACTCTTTCAAATAATGTATCATATCTATCTTCTCCCTCATCTTGCCGTAACACTGTTGCACTTCATGGTTGTTAAATGTTTGTCTGTTGTTGTTTGGTTAGGTTGTGAGTGTGTTGCAAAACAAATTTCCCCAATGGGACAATAAAGCTTGAAATGAAACTTACTCTTACCTCCATTTTCTATTTTCTAGGATCCTATTTCCATAAGAATGATTCTGTATGTTTCAGAAGTGCAATTATGAAGAGACCTCAATTTTTCACACATACAGTACATCGGAATATTTCCAGGAGGAACACAGAAGTTGAAACTGAGAGGTGGATATGACAATCAGATGGAGATACATTTAAAAAACAAGAAGAGGCAAGCAGCCTTCTACAGTGTAAGGCAAGGACAGACAAAAAAAAAACTAATGAATTCTTCAGCAGATAGAGACTAAATGCGTTCATGCACGCACACATGAGCTCAAAGATTCAGTGCTAGTAGAAAAGACACCTGTACAAAGGATGTGGTAGAAGCTTTTGCGGTAGAGTCGAATACCGTATCAAGTGACAGGTCCAGATACCCTACCTTTGGAATGGCCAGTTTCTCTCCTTTCTCCGGGCCCTCCTCTGAGTCGGAGCAGGTGTAGGCTTCGCCGAAGGACACCAGCGGGTTGATGCGCGGCCGGTGGACAGGCTGGAAATTGAGCTGAGTGCTGAGCAGGTTGCTGACGGCTCTCAGGGAGGTGCAGGTGTTGGGGGGCAACGAGGAGTCGGCCAGGAGGTCCGTAATCAGTCCGTGGGCCTCCCCCATGACAGCGATGTCCACCGTCACAGTGGTGCCTGAGGACTAGGACACACAGAAGGGGTGGGAAGAGGTCAGCCTCTTTAAACAAACAGTAACTCCATGTCCAATGTCAGAGACACAGAGAAAAAAGAAACAGGAGAGAAAATTGCTTGGCATCTCACATAGAAGTCTGACGTTGCTGTCTCCTCTCAGAAATGTGCGGAATGTAAATTACAGATAATCTGAATGCTTTACAACAGATGCACACACCAGTAGTTTAAAAACCTTTATCACAATTATCATTATTATTATTATCATCACTAGTGGAGGGTGACAGTCAACCTGTAGGATGTTTCAAAGACAATCCTTGAATTAGATTTCACATATGGTGTGTGTTCCTCACTGGATTAATCAGGCATCATTATACCTTCTAGCTTTAAACTTTAAAAAAATCCATACTTTCATTTTCTAACTGCTCCATCCAATACAGGGTCACAGTGGAGCCAGAGCCTTTCCCGGAAAACAACAGTCACAAGGCTGTATACACCTTGGATGGGACAGCAGTCCATCACAGGACATACAGTACACACACCATATGCTCGTTCTCTCATAAGTGAGGAAGGGAGGAAACGGAGCTCTCTGGGGAAAACCAGACAAACACAGGGAGATCATACAGACTCCAGCAGGCAG